ATAAAATTAAGGTGAGATCAAATTAGTAAAGTGAGAAGCGCCGTCAGCCCCACAGAGGGTTTCTCGTCGGCCCCACAAAGCTTATCTGACATGATATTGTACGGACTGTCTGCAATCCTGTGACTAAACTGAGACACCACCAAGTGTTGGGCCTTTTGCGCCACTCTCAACTCGACAACGCATTCGCCCAAACCACCCGGTTTCCCAAAACCACCGGATTTTCTCTGTCCCTCTCTTCCCCTCATTCTCTCTTCTTTTTCCTCATTTGTGCTGCACAGCGCCTTTGCTTACTAAACCAAAAACACTTCCCAATACGAAAATAGGAAGAAAAAAAACCCAACACATTAAACACCACTATCACATAAAAAAAACCCATCTCCATGCTTCCTCTTTTCATCTAGCTTCTTTTCTGGTATCAACCAAATTTAGGGTTTTCTTTCAAATTTGGTATATTTTCATCTATTTGGTTTCTAAGACTATATATAGTAATTTCTCCCCCTCACTTCCCTCTTTCCATTTTTAGTAATATAAGAAAAAAGAGAGGGAAAAAGAGAGAGAGAGAGAGAGAGAAAAAAATAATAATGGGAAGGGGTAAGGTTCAGCTGAAGCGGATCGAGAACAAGATAAGCAGGCAAGTAACATTCTCGAAGAGAAGGGCCGGATTGCTCAAGAAAGCTCATGAGATCTCAGTTCTATGCGATGCTGACGTGGCACTTATTGTCTTCTCTACCAAAGGGAAGCTCTTTGAGTATTCTAGTGATTCCAGGTCTGTTACGTTTTCCTTCATCACTGTGTTTCTTGAGCATATATATATATATATATATATCTTTCTCTGGGCGTGGATCTTTCTGGTTTCTTGTTAGTGTTCTTTGCTTCTGTTAATCCAAAAATGTTTATAAATTAATATAGAACAAAAAAGCTAAGCCTAAACACCAGTACTTAGATATATATTCTCTCTCTCTCTCTCTCTCTCTCTCTCTCTCTCTGTGTCCCTGTATTTGTTTGTACTAAGAGGTCAAGATGCAGAAAGTCATGAAAAAAAAAAGTGTAATCCCATATAAAAACAAAAGCTTTGTAATATATATTATCTCTTTATTGATCAGCTACAAATAATTAACAGAAACAAAATCTTCTTGTTTTTGGTTTTTATATAATTAATTGCTTTGTTTCATTTCTAATTGATTAGCTTATTGTCAGAGTAAGTACATAGAGTCCAGGTTCACTCACAATTCACAGACCTGTACTTACAGGTCAAATCAAGAATTGGGAATTAATTAATTTAATTTTGTATGCAATCTAAATACTTAAAATGGGTATTTTTGCAGCTCAGTAGTTGTATATGAAGATGATATAAGACACTGGCATTATGTACCATCACTGTCTCAGAAAAGGGTTTTGTACATCACATATACACCCAAAAGAGGAGGCAGTACTTATTTTAAAAATAAAATAAAATTAGCACTTATTTTTTATTTATTTATTTTATAAATAATAATTTGTTTACAGGTGTTCGACCTGGGTGAGGTTTCATTGAGCAATGTGTCATGATGGGAGTGGTGTTTTCGTTGGTTTTGTTACCTAGTATATGAGCATCTTGTAGATCTTCAATATCTATGCTGGTTGTTTTGTTTGTGTACCTAGCTAGGAGGAAAAAGCCCTCTTCCAATGATATAGGTTGTCGAAAAGGTGCGTAGGGGAAGCGAGAAAAGCAAATGCTGGTTCGTTATGTGAGATTCCCAAAAGGATTTCCCATTTGCGTCTAATGTGGTTAATCATTCAATTAGACAAAACCACAGGATTAGGGAACCGGAAAGCAAGTATTATTTTATGTAACTATTTTAAAAAAATAGATATATCTGTTAATGCTTATATTAGCTAGAGATTTTGATTAAGCTTGTTAGGTTAATCTTCCCAACATGTGTGTATGTTGTGATTCATACACATACCTTTACTATGGAGGTTGAGATTTCATACATGTGGAAAAACATTTTATTCTAGTGTGAACTTGCCTAGTTGATTTTGGGTTATGAATGTTACACCAATTTTAGCTAGGAATACTTATAAATGCATCTTTTTCCTTTGTTATCTTTTGTGTAGTAATTTACTCACGCTTCCCTTCCAAACCACTTTATCTCATGGATTAGATAATAATCCATCATGTTGAACTTGTAATTTGCGTTTCTTTAAGGTTCTATCAATTTAACATGAGTGTGGATTGATAACATCACGTGGTACTAACTAACTATGTGGAGACTATTGAGATAGAATGAGATAAAAACTTGTCCCCTCCACATCAAAAAGGAAAAGATTTTGGGGAAGCATAATCAAGTTAGCCTGAAGTAGAATTGTTATAATATGCATGACAGCGTATAGGACGTAATAGTTCGTATGCATAAAACCTGAAAGTGCTATGCCTTATCACATAAAACATTGATCGAGTATAGTAACTGTCTAATATGTGAGGCGTAATACCTTGGTTAAGTATGTATATCATTGAAGTCTTTAAAATGCTCAAATTTATTGAGGATGCTCAGCAGACCACTCTTGAGTCTGGAATGGCCATGCTCCATACATTTTAAACACCCATTTGGTGTAATACAAGCTATAGTAACCTTATACTCATTTGGCTAAAGAGTTTCAGCTACTTTCACATTTCAGGCACATAGAATTTACCTAAAGCCATAATGGCATATAAAGACAAATGATTTTAAGGTGCCGAGTCTAGTAACGTGGGCTTGTAACTAAGTAGGGCATTAAAGTGATTGCGATGTGATGGAGACTAAGCTAGGTGGACAAAGAAAAAGGGAGCATCGATATGAACTATTACATTTTATCACTTACAATCTGTGAGTTGAACTATACTACGTGTTCGAATCTATGAGTGAACTTTGTCCCTAAGCACTCAAGTTATTATAATATTGTATGTATCTACTTCTCCTTCTCACAGGTACATGTGCTCCTTAAGTTAAATAAGGAGTAATTAAGGGGGAGGGATTTTAATACCAAATTGTGTCTTGATATTATGATACTATTGTTAACAACTTAGTGTCAAAATCCTTGTTAACAATTGTGTCTTTAACATTTTAATAAAGTCTGAGTGATATTAATCTCGAAAGTATTGTTCAAATTACTACACTTCATAAGCTTCATTGGCTTGTCATTCTGAAAGCTTTCCTTTTTATAAAGCATGGAGAGCATCCTGGAGCGATATGACCAGTATTCGCATGCAGAACAGCAACTCACAACTGATTTCGATCCACAGGTATCCTTTCATGCGTGCAGCTCACCAAATAGTTATATATATATCTTAAAAGATGAGTAATTGTATCAAATAGGTTTTTTCTTCTTCTTGCTTTTGTTAAGATTTTGTTACAAAAGTAGGACCTTCATTTTTCCCTCTCGTTCGAATGCATGTCCCTTAATGAACTCATGAGCAAAAGATGGATTTAGAGTTTTATCAGTAGCCTTCTAAAGATTAATTAGCACTTTTGAAGAATCCCTGTATATATGCTGTGCATAGGGAAGCTGCTGGTCCCTGGAGTATCCCAAGCTTGCAGCAAGGATTGAAGTCTTGCAAAGGAAACTAAGGTATCATGCCAGTTAGCACAAGAAATTATTTAAGCTATATATATATATATATATATATATTGATATTGAATGTAAGGACTTTAAGAAGGAAAAAGCTTCTGAGTTGAGGACAAGATGAAAATATCATGACAAAATGATCATGGTGAACTTCATTAACCTTGTATTTGACACCGATTTCTCCAGGCATTTTACTGGAGAAGATTTAGACTCCTTAAGCTTGAGAGAGCTTCAAAATTTGGAGCTACAGCTTGAGACAGCACTTAAGCGCATACGAACAAGAAAGGTAAAAGTGCATATAGCTAAGCAAGCTTGTCAACTCAATTCGTATATATGGTTTTCGGTTTACACTAATCATATGGATTTTGGCATTTGCAGAACCAACTGATGCACGAATCCATTTCAGTGCTGCACAAAAAGGTAGAAAGTTTCTCATGCATTTCCGGAAAAATGTGATATATACTATATATATGCATGGTTTTCCCCTACTTATGTGTAGACATGCATGGTCGTATCGTATATATTTACCATGGTAAATGATTAGCTTAATTACTAGGTGTGCTTAGGATAAAATCAGGGTTAAGGGTCACTTGTAGGCTATTTTAATCCAAGATGAAATTGGTGTTAATTATATTTGCACGTCATCGATCTCACATTATAGGGACTTGTTTGTTACAGCAAAAGGCACTGCAGGAGCAAAACAACTCGCTAGGAAAGAAGGTAATAAAATCATGATATATCATATAATGGCCAGAGAATTAGCGTTGATCATAAGCTCGTTTAATTAATTAAAAGTTGTGGTATATGTTTTTATATATGACCCCCAGCTGAAGGAGAAAGAAAATATGCTGGAGGTAGAGCATGATGGTCAGGTGCAGCAGGTAGAGCAGCACCAAAGTAACCAAGCTGCCCACAACTCATCCACCCTCATGCTAATGCCGCCGCCACCACCCCAAACCTCGTCAACACCGGCACTACTTGCTTCTCTAACCATTGGGTTCTCTCTCTCTCTCTCTCTCTCTCTCTCTAGATGATACAGTTGAAGAATATTTGGGTTACATGCCAAAAAAGCAAAGTATATTGAGACTGTATGCAAATATTGATGCAGTGGGGGAATCCAGGCAAGAGGAGGGATGGAAGATGGTGATGATAATGACGGAAGAACTCAAACTCGGCCGCCTCCTACTACTAACACACTCATGCCAATGTGGATGTATCGCCATTTCAACGAATAATGGGCTTGCTGACCGGCCGGCTATTCTCAAATAAAATTCTATTGTTTTTGGTTGTGGAGGTCGAAGAAGATACATCGATCACTAATTAACATTCAATTTACCTCTACTGTAAAGTTTTATTATTATAAAGAATAAAAACAACAATGTTTCTTCAAACTTGTAATATTCTAAATTCTAATCATATTGAAAGAAAATTTGACATGGTTAATTGTGTACTTGATTTAATTAGGATTACAAAATAGCAATTTGACATAACTACAAGAGATTAACCCCTTCACAATCTGATTACAACAATTTTCAATACCTAATTCATAACCAGATTGGATTATAAAGTGATTAATAGACAAATTATTGACATAATGATTGTCAATTTTAAAATCTGGTCCAATTGATCCTTCACTTCCTATTACTGGTGGTCTCATCGTCTTCATATTCACAATCACCACCCTCAAGCACATGCTGCCTGCAGGAAGTAAAAAGTAACATGGTACTTCATCAAAGATAAACATAAAGAACAAAGAAGGAATTCCAAACCAATGTAGACACTGCTGCAAAGCTCCCAAGGCACCAGAGTTCATGAATATATGTGAGCAACAAATCAAAAAGCTCTTTGGACGAAAGAACCTCTATGAACATGAGGACCTTTCAAATTTTAAATCATTGCCACAACACTCACACATAGGTTTACTCAAAATGTGACAGAAACTCTGGTGCTCCTTCAAGGTAGTCCAGTTCCTATATTTATATTCCATTGTGACATAGACTCTACTAACATCTTCAATGCTATCAAATTTAGATTTCTAGTAGATTTTATCCTAATTTTATGAAGGCAGAAAAACTAATATTACATAAATGTGGAATTAGGCCATGGACAGAAAGGAATACCTCAATCTTTCACAAAGGCGTGCTAAAGCATCTGAACCTGTTCTAGACGCAATGTCCTCAATCTCAGAAGCATTCTTTAGATTCACGCTATCCGCAAGCCTAAATTCACACAACTCCTTCAAGGAACATGCATCAGTCAACACGGCTGAATGGCCACCACCAGCTGCAAGTTTCCGCACTTCCCCCACGCACCTGCAATGCACACTTCAATCAAAATACTAATCAAGATAGCCAAGACCTGATGAACAATTTATTTGTGCCTTACCAATCAACCGGGGATGGATACCAAGCATAAGTGGATTTCTCGTTAGATGCCTGACCGTAGCTATTGTAGCCCCATCCATGAATTCTTCCATCCCTTGTAGAGATAAGTGTGTGGGAGTGTCCACATGTAATGAGTTGTACACTAGTTGGAACAACTAATGCAGGGATATTCTGGAGAAAAGACTCAGACTCATTAGGGTTGCATGAAAAGAATCCAGTGTCAGGGCCAAGGCCTAACTGCCCTGATCGACCACCACCCCAAGCATAAAGAGCTCCCTTCTGAGTCACGGCACATGTATGTACACCACCGCATGCAATATCCTTCATGAATATTCCATCAAGTGCGACCACTCTCCTAGGCAATAACTCTTTCTCCCCAGACTGGAGGGAACAATGCCCAAGTTGACCCATGTTTCCAAGCCCCCAAGTATACCTGTGAGGGCCAAATAAATTTATTGTGAGGAAGAATTCCGCAAAGAAATTAAAGTTAAACAAAACAAAAAAAAGAATAAAGTATGATAACTGTAGCAAGGATCTTTCAGCTGCTACAACCATTGCTGGCTGCATCATGCATAACAAATATAAATTCAGAAATGTATAGTAGCAGAATGCAGCATCCTGTCTCCCTTAAAATGTGAGATTCCCATACGAAGATTTTGCAAACCTTCTGAGTTAAATGTGCCATGCGGATAACCACAATACTCAAGCTTAAATATAGAACCTAATCTCCATCTAAGAATTTCTTCAGATCACTTACACCTCGCCTTTTTCAGATATAGCTGCAGTGTGGTACTCCCCGCATGACACTTGGGTAATCTTCACAAGCTCAGGGGCATCATCAAGGAACTTCGCATAAGCATTTATTATACGAGCCCCCTGTAATCCTTCACATGTAAATCCTCTGCCAAGCTGACCATATTCATTATATCCTGGTGTACCAGCACAGTAATTAATTCTGATTAATTAGAGGCGGGAAAACACAAACTTCAGTTTTCTATTCATATTGTCAGGTATATATATCTATCACCAAATTGCAATACAAAAATCAACTCTAACAGATATACCTAGAAGCTGCTTTCAAAAGAATAATGATATTATAAGAAACTAACAAATGGAATATGCACTTATAAGGGTAGAGGTAGACATAGCAAATTATCCTAGAATCACAGTTACCCCAAGCTTGTAGCAGGCCATCCTCTGATAAAGCCATCACATGAACCGCCCCACAAGACACTTGACGGATAATCTGTAAAAACTTTTTGGTAAGTAACAAGTATTAAATTTGATAACCATCTTCAATGAAGCATTTGATACAACAGGAATTCATCTCTTTCTCTTGTTGGAGTTGTGATCTAAGACTAGTTGTCAAACTTTTAAATGCATTGCCTGCAGTGGCAGCAGAGCCTAGTAGCTGTTCAAAGTAATCCCTTGACTTTGATAAACCAGCCCAGCTAACGGAAATTGATCAAGGTTTTTAAAATCAATTACTGCCTCAGCTTTTTATTAAGAGAACTTATTTACTTGATAAATGAAAAATATTTTATCCACAATTGAAACCTGATGAGCTCATCTTACTATCCAAATAATATCATAATTCTAAGACAAACAATTCTGACCTAAAAAGAATGCGTAATCAATAAGAAGTAACGCATACCGTGTTTGGAGTGAAGGCGCCCCAAAATAAACGTGGAAAATTTGATCCCTATAATGAGAAACAGGGAAGAAAAAAAGTAAACAAATTACAGTACTATCAGCCCAAAAGGGATGAAAACAGGAATGATGCTAAAGAAATTCATAGTAGGACCTGATTTTGCCCCCAAATCCAAAGCCTTCTTGTTGAGACAGATCCATCATTTTCACGAGGTTCTGCAATAGCAGCGGTACAATGTGCTCCACAAGATACAGATTTCACAAACTCTGTCTGTAATTGCTTCACTTTCTTTGGATGTTTTCTTCGCTCCTCAGTTCCGTCTCCCAATTGACCAAAGTCATTAGCCCCTGGATCAATTGTTTACACATTCAGGTTATATAATGCTCTCAGCATATGAACATCAACCAAACACGATTTTATATGTACTTTGTCAACCACGACAAGCATATGGCTTATTCCTATCACTATAATCAACCATTTCCAAAACGAGAACCGGCAATTTGATTTCACAGGTCTATTAATACAAACTAAAATCACTAACAACCAATATTCAAGACGGTAAACGGTTCATTTCCACCATATGCAATTGATTGAATTCATAAATGGAAAACCAATTCCAAAAGTAAAAAGCGACAGACTTATCAACCGAACATGCCTTTGAATTTACTCTATCACCATAACCAATTCCAAAACGAGAAAGGGCAATTTGACTTCACAGTTCCATTATCCCATATTCAATGAATTGAATTCAAATTTGGAAACTTTATAATTATAAAACACAGCATACCCCAAGTGAAAAGCGACCCGTCTGAGGCTACAGCGGCTGTGTGCTCGTGGCCACAGGCAATGTCCAGCCATCGCGAATTGGCCCCAGCCGTACATCCAAAAAGCTCGGGCTTGAGCTGCTTCGGGATTCTCAATTGCCGCTCCTTACCATTGCGACCCGTCTGCCCAGACTGGTTATAACCCCACACGTAAATTGCACTCTTCGTCGGAATGCTCACTGGTCGGTTTCGACCCAATAGTTCATCTATGTCCATTTTCATGTATTGCCTGCCCCTGAGAACGTTTATTGCTTTTAGCTACGAATGTTTGGTATGGAAAAGAATGAAACCAGAAATTGAGCAAATTCTAATTCAATTGAAGCAGAAAGTTGCAAGCTTTATAAGATTGGTTCTTCGTTTGGTTGCAATAGATTGCATTCAGCTACGAATTTGACACGGAAATGAATGAAAACAAAAGTTGAGCAAATTCTGATCCAATTGAAGCAGAAATTTGCAAGCTTTAAAAGATTCGTTCTTTTGTTTGGTCGCCGAGAAAGGTGAATGAGGCGGTGGAGCTCTGTTTGATTGGATTCTAGGCAACCAAACAGAGTCACAGAGATGACTGATGAGGAGCAAAACCAAATTTCCGATAAAGAGAGAGAAAACGGAGAAGAGTGGTTACCTGAAAAGAGTCAAACTCAAAGAGGAAGGGAGAAAGGTGGAAAAGAAACTGAAATTATAATTGCCGTTTATCGTTGGTGGAAATGTTCCGCGAAGCTGGGAGACGGAGACGGAGTCGGGTCGGGTTACGTGGTTGAGGCCCACATGCTTCACGCTTAAGAATTTTCTAGAATCCATACTAAAAATTATTTTAAATTTTATAAATTTATAGAATTCTTTTTTGGTAAAAAATTAATGAATTTTTAAGTTATTTGGCCGATGGCATTCTAAACTTGAGAAAGGAGAAATGTCTAGATTCAGTGAATGAAACTTGCACCGCATCAAAAGTAAAAATAAAATCAGTAAACTTTATGTTACATGTTAAAAATAATAATTTGACTACAAATACAATATTCATGTCATGGACAAACTACAATATAAGTTTTAAACTTTTTTATACAAGCGATATTGACGAAAGAGATGACGTTGAGTGGACATATAGAATATATTTTCTTGAAGCCATAGTTTTTACGTAATTTCACTTGATTGTGTTGATACGTATTTTTTCGCTTATGTGTATGTCATTTCTAGCTTAGCTTTGTGGACTTTTTTCTCCGACTTTGAGAGGTACGTGGTAGGTGTTGAAGCCTGAACAGAAGAGAGAGAAATAAAAAACAGAAAAGGTGGTAGAAGAAATTGAAAACGTTCACAAAGTATCCGTAAAGCCACAACGCGTAGAATTGTCTTCTTCTCTTGCCCAACTCTCCAAGTCGCAGCTTTGATAAGCTGACAGACGGGTAAGCAATCAAAGCCTTGTACTTTAGATTCATTTAATTTGTTTCATCAATCTTTGTATGTGTGTTTGTGGGTTGATATTAAAACCATCAATCTTTGTAAGATGATATGAATTGTGAATTGGGTGACCCCTGATATCTGAATTTCCGGGAATTGTATCGAGCACCAATTTCATGTGTTAATTTTGTGGCAGAAAACACTGCATAAAAGATAAAACTATGGCTGGTGGGTCAGCTGCGAAAAGGCTTATCCAAATTGATATCATTTCAGATACTGTATGCCCTTGGTGCTTTGTGGGCAAGAAAAATCTTGACAAAGCTTTAGAGGCATCTCGTGATCGATACGACTTTGAGGTTATCTTCTTTCTTGTTCTTGTTGATCTTTGTTGTTTTGTTCTTCCATCTTAAACTATTGTTGTCACTGTACATAAATTGTTGTTGTTGTTCCATCAATACTAAACTACTGTCACACTGTACATAAATTGTTGTTGTTGTTCCATCAATACTAAACTACTGTTAGTGTATAAATTTTTTGTAGGTTAGATGGCATCCATTTCAACTTAATCCTAATGCCCCTAAAGAAGGTGTTGATAAGAAGAGGTACTATGAGGAAAAATTTGGATCTGGCATGTCTGGACGGATGGAGTCTCGGATGTCAGAGGTATTCGTGTAATTCTATGGATCTGTCTATATATAAAAAGTACAACATTAACATTTATGCTTACCTCTGTCATAGTATGGTGTGCTAAATGAATGGCCTTGATTTGGTTGCAAGATGTTATCGGGTCTGTCTAGTTATTCATTCTGTCCCCTTTGAAAATTGCAGATTTTCAGAGGCCATGGCCTGGAATATAACCTGTCTGGACTCACGTAAGTCGAAAGGATATTACTTTTTCTTTTGCATTGTTATGCTGACAGTGTACACTGTAAACAACAGATTGATAATGGAGGGAAGGCCTGGAAAAGGAACTAAATGATAGTTTATGTATTAACATTGTGTCAAACATGTACAGGGGGAATACTCTAGATAGCCACAGGCTTATATATTTTGCTGGGCTTCAGGGTCATGAGAAGCAACATGAGCTTGTGGGTGAGCTATTTCTTGGATACTTCACACAGGAAAAATACATTGGGGACAGGTAATTAAGCACTGTTTTAGGTCACTTTTTGATGACCTTTATATCTGTTTACCTTAAGGTTGTGTATAGTGATTTCTTCTCTTGTATAGTTTGCGGCATGTGTTAAATGTAAACCTTCTACTTCTTTTCAAATATCACATGGTATATGAGAGAGTGCGCTTCTGTCTTTTCCTGTAAAACTCACCAGTCAAATGAAAAATGAAAGATTGTCAGCCCACAGTTTGCTGTATCATGTCTCTTCTGAAGTTCTGAAGCATCAAGCATGTTGTATGTGTCGATCCTATATGTTGAGAATTGGATGCTATATATGTTCCTGATCAGAGTAAACCAATATATGACACTTCCTTACCCCTAAGATGATAAGGTAAAGAAGGGACGTCAAAACATATATTTCCTGAAAATGGTTACGGGTAGTTTTAACTTTTATGGAAGGAGCGGCCTAGAATTAAATGCTTTTACATTCTAAAATCTGAATTAAGAGGCACAAATATTTGCAATTTGGATACAGGGAATTTCTTTTGGAAAGTGCTAGAAAGATTGGAGTAGAAGGGGCGGCAGAGTTTCTTGAAGACCCCAACAATGGACTCAATGAGGTCTGTTCACTGATTCCTTTGTGTCACTATTTTTGGCTGAGTGTTTGAAGATTGGAGTTGAACTGTTGAGCTTGCTGATTCAAATCATACGATTCTGTTTTCTTGCGACCAAATTGAGCATTGTGTAGATTTACTGTGCTCCTTTCCTAAAACTAGAATTTCTACAATATCTTTGATAGAACTGACCTTGTTCGTTCGGTAAAATGAAGGTCAATGAGGAGCTCAAGAAGTACACGAAAGACATAAATGGAGTCCCACATTTTCTGGTGGGTGATGAAAACTCACATTATGAAAATTGAACTTTTGTTTGATTAGCCCAATTAATAGATCCATTACTTATGAATCATTTGACTGTTTTGGCAGATTAATAATGGGAAGCAGGAACTAAGTGGCGGTCAACCGCCTGAGGTGTTCTTGAGAGCTTTTGAAGCAGCCACAAAGTGATGCAGCCTCACATTGAAAAACATTCACTCTCCATCTCCAATAAGAATGCAACCTTGAAAACATATATTGAATGCATATAACTAGTAGTTTTCTTTGTTTTGTGTAATGTAACTAATGTTGAGTGTGAATCTTCTCATGATGTGAGAGTTGTGATATTGTATAGGGTCCAAAAGGTGTGAGGGAGTTAAACAAATAGTTGGGATTGTTATGGCTGTATCCTGGCAATGCCAAAAGTTATGCGGAGTGTAATGTGCATCAATGGGCTTGCTTATATGATTTAATGTTTACTTTTATTTCTAGAAAGACTATAGAAATTGTAAGTACCAAAAAAAAATATAATCACTAAATTTTAAAGCTAATAACTTTAGCTAGCCCACCCGTTGAAAAATTTCTGATTCCGTCCTTGATCATTTAGATATGTATATCGTAGACAACGTTATTAAAAAACAATTCTTGAAATTCATCTTACAATCTTTACTAATGCTATCTCCTTGTTTTCTTTTTTTCTTTCAACTAATTGTTGAACTTATGGTCTCTGATCCCAATAATAGTTGAGATCCAACAACATTGTCCCCAAAAATAAAGGAGGACATCGAGCAACATTCATGGTCAAGGTTACATGGGTCGAAACCTAAAACAACAAAAAACCCATTCATGGTTAAGGTAGCATTGGAGCCAAGGCTTTGTGGACAGTTTCTGTTTTTGACTTTGAGCTACGTGGTAGGCGGTAAAGCCTTCCAAGTGGAAAAGGGCAAAAGAAAAAAAAAACGTTGAAGTCCACAAGGTATCCGTAACCCTCTCTCCTCCAAGTGGCAGGCAGCTTTCACAAATTTATGGACGTGTAAGTAATGACTTGTGAGCAAACTTTCATGAAACAAAAACATACAACTTCAAATCCATCTTTACATTCGTCCCAAAAAAAAAAAAAAAAATCCTTCTTTACATGCACGGTTGGGTTGACATTAAAACAGTTAATATAGATATAAATGTATATATGATTTGATGAATTTGGTGGCTCTTATATATGTCATGGTTGCCATATTGGCAGCAATTGTTTGAGTGCCAATTTCACCATCTAGTTTGAGTGTTAAATATTGTCGGGATACAGTTGCAGATATGGCTGGAATCAAGAAAAAGCTTGTGGAAATTGATATAATTGCAGACACTGTGTGTCCATGGTGCTTTGTGGGCAAAAGGAACCTTGACAAAGCTCTAGTGGAAGGTAATGATCGATACGAGTTTGAGCTCAGATGGCATCCATTTCAAATTGATCCTGAAGTCCCTAAAGAAGGCATTTACAAGAAAGAGTTTTATGATGCAAAGATGGGCGCTGATGTAGCTGAAGTGTTTGAGACCCGTATGGCGGATGTATGTAATATATACATAAAACACTTCCCTATCCCTGTTTCATCGTCCCCCTCTTTCTATCTCTCTCCTCATCTGATAGGTGACAGGAGGAGAGAAATAGAGAAATGGGGCAGTGAAACGGGGATGGGGAAGTTTTTCTCCTTGATTTGGTTGCTCGTTTTAAGTGGTATTCATTCTTATATTTCCTTTTCACAATTTGCAGATCTTTTCAAACCATGACATGACCTATAAGATCGAGGGACTCACGTAAGTGCAGACATTGATTTTTCTTTCTTTCATTTTTCAGGCTGATTGTGTGTTTGTGTGTGTAAACAAACAATTTCACATAGAGGGAAAGCATGGAAACAAGGATTTTTTTCGGTGGTGGTCTAATGTGTTAACAAATATTGTGTAAAACATGTGCAGGGGAAATACTATTGAGAGTCACAGGCTTATATATTTTGCTGGGCTGCAGGATCATGATAAGCAGCATGATCTTGTGGATGAGATCTGTCTTGGATATTTCACAGATGGGAGATTCATTGGGGACAGGTAAGATTGCATATGGTGATTTATTCTCTTGTTTAGTTTTGTAACATGGGGAGGATTGATTAATCTATTCTTAATTTTCAAGCAACGGCTATGGATGCAAAGATATGTTCTGGGTTAAGTACTTTTACATCCTTAATCTAATTTAAAACTTAAAAGAGGCACAAACATTTGCAATTTGGGTGCAGGGATTATCTTCTGAAATGTGCTGAAAAGATTGAAATAG